GGGGGGGGGGGGGGGGGGGGTGTTGCCCCACTGCAAGGGTTAACTTGTTACTTCTTTAATTCAAAATATGTAATTCTGTGAAATGCACTAAAAAGAAGGGTTTGCATACAATTGTATTAGGGATGCACCGATACTCTTACTCGTGAAAATGCCCCAATACGAAACACCGATATCGGTGCTTTAAATTTTTAAACTGAAGAGGCTGCCTGAGGTCCCGCGCTTGCTGGGAACTTTGGCAGCCTTTCTTTGAACTGTGATGCCAGTTTACGGCCCCGGCAGCACATCTCCTCCTCCTTCCTGGGGAACCCTGCGGCCTGCACATGCCCACCCACAAGACCCTCCAGACCCCTGCTGAGGCCCTGCACAGCCCTCCTGAGATCATGGAGACACCAGGGCACCAACCTGGAGCAAACCAGAGTATGTAGCTTCATATTATTATTCTGCAAAGTCTCGTATTGCTGGGATTTGTAGTCCTTTATAGCTGGTGTTATTTTGATGTGCTGTACAATGTATTGCTTCGATTTGTAGTCTTTTTTTTATAGCTGGTGGTATTATTCTGCATTGCTATATAATGTCTCTTGCTGAGATTTGTAGTCCTCTCTAGCTGGTGGCATTCTGCATTGCTGTATAATGTATTGCTGAGATTTGTAGTCCTCTCTATCTGGTGTATTTTGCGGTGCTATATAATGTATTGTGGGGATTTTGTAGTCCTCTTTAGCTGGTGGCATTCGGCATTGCTGTATAATGTATTGTGGGGATCTGCAGTGCTGTATAGCTGGTGGCATTCTGCATTGCTGTATAATGTATTGCTGAGATTTGTAGTCCCTCTACAGCTTGTAGTCAGTGGCAGAGTTACCAGGGCCCTGGTGCTTCACCACTGTCCTAGAAGAAATGTCACATGACACTAAAAAAAGTATTGGCGAATACCTGAGGAAAAGTATTGGTACTTTGTACTCTGTCTTAAAAAAATGGTATTGGTGCATCCATGAATAATTGTGTTTGCCCAGGATGACCTGGGCTCAGAGGAAGTGAGTTGAATGATGCTGGCCATCAGACTGAGAACATCTAGTGCTATAAAAAATACTCTGGGGAGAAAAGCTCGTTTTTCTCTTTTACTGGCCTACTTTTTTTTATCTTATTGTTTTGGCTGCTTTAAGCAAAATAAATGTCTGCTGCTATACGGTGGTTTCTATCTTCCTCAATGACTGGAGCTAGATGGATATGCTTTATAGACATATGAGGTAGCTTCACACCTGATCTACTAAAAATTGGCTTCCTGTCTGTTTAGTGTATCATTAGAAATCAAAGCGGCAGGATGAAAAGCTTTATCTACAAATGGAAAGATACTTCGTATGAAAAGCTTCCGTTAGAAGCTGCCATTCTTGAGCTTTTGTGCTGCATGCAGATTATGAGGCAGTGAAGCTGAACCTATTCAGCTTTACTGCAAGTGTCTGAAAAATGATGCAGATCAGCTGGAGAAAGAATGTTTCACTTCAGGAAGGATTCCCCTTTAAGTTAATACGCTGGCTTTATTTCCTTAGTATAATGCTGATGTAAATGGCGAGGAGTGCGTGAAATTCCCTTCTATTGTGCTGCTAAAAAGTGAGATTTCAGGAGCAAAATTGCATTACGTCAGAACGGCCTGGGGTCAGTCCTTGAAAAACAGAAGAAACCTTATTATTTTTATCGTGGGATCACTTTCCCTGTCATGTAAGGTATACCATTGGCTTGTTTAGGCAGCAGACAATAGATCTTGGATTGCCATTGTAGTGCCATAGAAGGAATCCTCCATACTATATGCTGGGAAAGTAGAAGTATTCCAGCACATATTCAGGGGATCGCGCTGCTTGAAACTTTAAATGTTTGCAAAACCAAGGACTTGCATCAGTTTCAGGGTTCTGATTTATAATCAGTTGTCTTTTTGTTTCCTGCAAATGTCATCTGTCACACTAGGGTCCATTTTACACCACTACAGACCAAATGTCATTTGAACTGCATGGAGGGGGGTCTGGATTTTTGTTTTGATTGCTGCGAATATATATACAGGTGAAACTCAAATAATTAGAATATCGTGCAAAGTTCATTTATTTCACTAATGCAACCTAAAAGGTGAAACTAATATATGAGATAGACTCATTACATGCAAAGCAAGATAGTTCAATCCGTGATTTGTCATCATTGTGATAATTATGGCTTACGGCTCATGAAAACCCCAAGAACCCCAAATCCACAACCTCAAAAAAGTAGATTATTACATGCAATCAATAAAACAAGGATTGTACATGGAACAATATCGGACCTCTGAAAAGTACAAGCATGCATATGTACTCAGTACTTGGTTTGGGCCCCTTTTGCAGCACTTACTGCAATTACTTTTGCACGATATTCTAATTATTCGAGTTTCACCTGTATATATAATTATGTATGTATGTTTTGAAAGATTTTAAAGACATTTCAAGATGCAAAAGAACAAAAAAAACTGGATGCAACAGTATCCAAGAGCTTGACATTGACAAAGGGTACATTTATCAGGCTAAAGACACTACTACAGGGTGGAATTATGGTTACAATAGATGATGTGCATACAAGAAAATACAAAAGCTTGGATACATACCTCATGGGTTGGGGATGCGGCCGGTACGACCACCTGCGGGTGCAGCACACAGCCGGTCCACCCATACATTTCATGCATCAGCATCCCCCAGCATTGGGGTAGCCAGCCTGCCAAGTCATTGCTACCAAGGAGAGTACGAGGATTGAATCTGTTATTAGAAGTGCTGAATGTATTGTCAGGACAATATTTTGAATGGACACTGGTTTTCTAGGTAAATTGATACCTTTTATGGCAAAGGTGGACAAATTGATAAATAATTCAGGAGCCACCTAGTCCAACCCAGGAGCCAGCAGCATTTTTTTTTTTAGCAGCCAGCTCTATTGACAACAACTAGACAAATCCTCAAAGGTTAATAGATGCGTCCTGCTGCACTCCTTACCGGTATAGATAGACCTGAAACGGCCAGGGTGGTGCTTGTAATGACTACGGATGGTGCTGTACAGTACAACAATGTTCAAAAATGTCACCAGCACACCAAAGGTAGAGTAAAAGCAATCCATTTAATGACACAGCATTGTCATAAAGGTGGAAGCGCTTTTGGGGCCGTGCAGGGTACCCTTCATCAGGCTTGCACCTCGATGACAATGCTGTGTCATTAAATTGATTGATTTCACGCTACCTTTTGGTGTGCTGGTGACATTTTTGAACATTATTATCCTTAAAGGTTAAGCACTTTTTTAAGGAGCTTTGGCGATCTGGCTCCTGGATTTGTCCAGCCCTGTTATAGGACAATGCAAAAGTTGTTATGGTGAAACACAAGATTTGGGAACTGAACTAGCCTATTGCAGCATGACAAGTGTAGTTAGCACCTCTTACAAAAAAACGTTCTATTCCCAAATGAGTTGGCTAGCCCACAAGAAGACAAAATTGTTGTGTAAACAGAAAATGCAGTATTGCTGGGCCATTCTTTTGTAGGGAAGCTAGTTTCTGTTGTCATTGTGCTGTACGTTTATGATAATTAGACCTATGAAACTGTCGGGATACTATAGGTTTCATTTACATGCTTTTTTATTTTTGCTTCATGCAATAAAAACTCCACGTCTGTCTGCAACAATTGCTTCATATATTGGTAGGATAGACTACTATGGATAGACTACTATCCATAGGATAGATTACTATGAGGTCTAGGATAGACTACTATGAGGTCCAGTGGCATAGGAGGCCCATTTATTAGTGGCTGCAAAGAATTACAATCTAATGTACCTACCACAGTCCTAGAGATACACACTCAAGGGCCCATTTAAGCAAAAGCAGAGCAACCTCAAGGGCCCAATTAAGCAAAAGCCAGTCAACCTATTTTTTTTAAACATTTAATGAAAACTGAAGAACTTCAGGGTCACAACTCTATCTCCTAGATACTATTGCTTAAACAGATATATATAAGGTCAGAAGGCTCCACATAAGATTTGTCTCTTATGAGGTGTATTTTAGAGGAGTTCAATGTCCAAAATCTGCAGGGTTGAGCAAACTGATTTGTGATTTTGGCATAGAATTCAACACCTAAGGGGGTACTGAGGAA